AAGAGTGGTGTGGTCCAAAGAATTTGATCGCAAAGTAGCAAGGTATTTATATTTATACCCATTATTGTTTTGTATAGTTTCAACCATTTGGGTTTGGGAATTGGGACCAAGGTATTTATATTTTCTTCCTCTCCTTATATTGTTATATTTATATGTACTTCTGCTTTGTTTGAATGTACGTGTTAATTGTACCAATTCCAATCACATGCACCAATCGTACATACTGGCTACTTTGTTCAATCCATCTCACACGTAACAGTGTGAAAGTGAAACTACGATTAATAAAGATTATAATACAAACCCATATGATGCTAAAAAAAATACATAATAAACTTGATAATTTGATAGATTATTTGCAAAACCATTTTAATTTTATAAATATTTTAATTTAATAATAAAGTTATATTATTTGACGTTAATATTATATGATGTTAAGATTACACGATATTAACTTTTAAATTCTTAAATATGTATAGATATTCATATACTTATTGTTCTTATGTAGTGGGCAAATTCCATTGTTCTAAAACAACTCGTTTTAAAAATAAAATAAGTAATTTTAGTTATTAATGAAAACACTAAATTATAAATATAACCGTTATTAAAATTATTTATTTTACTTTCACTTAAAAAAGTTGAAATCTATAAGTTCCAGTTAAATGGTTTGTCATTAGATAGAGACCCAGTTGGCCTATTAAGCTATGGGGAATAGTGTTGGGAATAATTTAATATATAATATACCAATTTACCAGTTTAGGTTTGATTTATTTTATTTTTTAAATTTTTGAACCGGTATTTTCACAAGCATAATAATTGTGAGAAAAACATATAAGTATTTTTTTCTCTTTAAAGTATTAAAAAGTAAAACTTGCCCAAGTCCGTGGACGGTGCCAGGCTCTAGAGGTTAGGAAAAATACCATAATCACTGTCTTAGAAAAATGTTTTTCTTTTATAAAACGTGTATATAGTAAAGGAGGGGTTGAAGAAAAATGTCTATAACTCTTGTGATCAAGTTATATATACAATCACAATAAACTAATTTAAGGCTTCAATAATAACGTTCGTCAAATAGAGAAAATTGAATATAATTATAAAAAATGCCAGGCTTCGCTCTTTAAATACTTTCATATACGCCACCATAGACCCTCAATTTCTTCAAATCCTTCTTATAATTGGAGTCCACATTTGCAAAATGTTTAATCACAACTTGAAATTTGTAAGAACTTAGTGTCATTGTCATTGTCTCATTTAGATTTTAGATGTTTCCGATGCATCATCTATGTTTAATTAGATGACAAGTAGATAGATAAAGTAACTATAACCATGTAAATAAAAGGTATGCATATATAAGAATGTAAACCATTAGGTAGGCAACATGTTCATTCTTGTATTGAGGAAAAGAATATTCACCTTATATTTGCACAGAGCAATTCTTATAAAATTAGCCAGACAACATCTGCATCCTTTCAAACACAATATTCAATTATTTAGGAAACCAATATTCAATTCTCAATTATTTATCTTGTCCTCCACACAGAGCTTCAAGTATATATCGTTTAGCTACTTAACCAATAACTAATTAACTATGACTAGCATGTTTCACTTCACTCTCTGGGCCGGCAACATAAAATTCTGAAAACAAAATCTAATTTTCTTATTTATTTTGTCCTTGCTAGCTACAACCGACATAGTTAACAATGTTTCTCCTAGTACTTCACGAGGACAAGCCTTGTATATATATATTTATGTTGGTTATGGTTCACACTTCACACACATTTTGTCTCAGCCTCAAACCATTAACTTAGCATTAACAAGTCCATCAAACTTGCAGAAAATGTCAGGAGAGGAAGTTTGGTCATCAAATGAAGAAGAGTATAACAAACCTCAGCCTCCATTTGGTAACAAGAGTGGCTACGATTCAAGAACAGGCATTTATCACTCTCTAGTTAAGCTTGACACCAAGCATGAACTCCCAACAAAGCTTGACCTCAACACTGCCAATTTTGTGCTGTCACAGTTTCCACAAGCAGGCCTTGCTGAGGCAAGAATTGCATTCATTGATTCGAGTACTAATAGGAGTGTAAGCTATGCTGAGCTAAGACAATCTATTTACTCTCTTGCATCAGCTTTGTTCCATGGACTTGAGGTTAGGAAAGGAGATGTGGTGCTTGTGTTATCGCCAAACTCAATCTTGTACTCAGCCATATGCCTAGCTGTGTTATCAGTTGGAGCAGTTCTCACCACTGCCAACCCCATCAACACTGCCTCAGAAATCGCCAAGCAAGTGCGCGATTCGGGTGCTAAACTAGCCATCTCAGCTCCTGAGGAGCTACACAAGTTGATCCCAACTGGGGTTCCTACAATTCTCACATCTCGTTCTTCTGATGGCAAGATGTTATCAGTTGAAGAGTTGATAGAGGGCTGTTATGGTTCACCAGAGTTTTTGCCACATGTTCCTGTGGCTCAATCAGACACTGCTGCTATACTTTACTCTTCAGGTACCACAGGAGTAAGCAAGGGTGTGGTTTTGACACATGCAAATCTCATTTCCATAATGAGACTACTCTGGTGGTCTGCTGATGTCAGTGCATCACAAGATGATGTTTTCTTGGCCTTCATTCCAATGTTTCATGTCTATGGACTTGTGTTCTTTGGATTTGGATTGTTGTGCGTTGGCGTCACAACAATTTTGATGCAGAAGTTTGACTTGCCGGCTATGCTTGATGCAATCCAGAAGCACAAGGTTAACAACTTACCAGCAGTGCCACCAGTGATCCTTGCACTAGTGAAACATGCAAGCAAAATTAGGTGTGACTTGTCAAGCCTAAGAAGGGTGGGGTCAGGTGCTGCACCTTTGAGCAAGGAAGTGGCACAGGATTTTAGGAGGATGTTTCCTTGGACTGAACTAAGGCAAGGTTATGGACTAACAGAAAGTTGTGGTGGAGCAACATTTTTTGCCTCAGATAAAGATGCTAAGGCTCATCCAGATGCATGTGGGAGGCTGCTCCCAACTTTTTGTGCAAAAGTGGTGGACACTGAAACGGGGAAGCCTTTGCCTCCTAACAAAGAAGGAGAGTTATGGTTCAAAAGTCCTACTATTATGAAAGGATATCTAGGAAATTTGGAGGCAACAACTGCAACCCTTGATTCAGAAGGTTGGTTGATGACTGGTGATCTTGGTTACATTGATGAGAATGGATTTGTTTACATAGTTGAACGGATAAAAGAGCTAATCAAGCACAATGGATATCAGGTACTCAAAGCCATGTACAGTTTAGTTTTCAACTAGAATATAAGTAAATTGCTTCAGTTATCAAGGTATTAAATTGCTTGTGTCAGGTGGCTCCCGCAGAACTGGAATCTGTGCTGCTAAGTCATCCCCTTATAGTTGATGCAGCAGTTATACCGTGAGTTACCTTCTCGCATTTTCACTCTCTGTTTTCATTATTTGTATGACTTTCTTATGTGAATAAAAAATGTTGCAGGGTTGAAGATGAAGAAACTGGACAGATACCAATGGCATATGTGGTGAGAGCAGCTGGTTCTAAACTCTCAGAAGATCAAGTCATTCAATTTGTTGCAGGCCAGGTAACTCTTGTCCGCTGCATGCTCTATTTTCTTGTTGGGATACAAAGTCCCACATTGTTAAAATGAGAGGATGAACATGGATTTATAAGCATATACAAAGTCTCTATTAGCCTAAAACTTTTTTGGATGATGGCCAAAAATAAATCTCTGAATTTAAAGTTTAAAGTAGACAATATATATAATATCAATGTAGAGAAGTATATGAATTTCTGATGAATAATAGTATATCACACCCCTCTTGAGAAATACATCTCTACAAAAACAACTTCATCATTTTAATTATTTTTTTTATTTTACTCAAAGTAATTTGATAATTTTTCAGGTGGCTCCATATAAGAAAGTGAGAAGGGTGAGTTTCATTGACACTATTCCAAAGTCAGCTGCTGGCAAGATATTGCGCAAGGATCTTGTTTCTCAAAGCAAATATCAACTTGTCTCCAAGTTATGAGTAACATTTATAAATGATAGTAATCCAGAATGTTTTACTTGTTGGTCCTAAGGGTCTCAATTTTCCATTGTGTAAAACTAGTATAAACGGATTTGGTAAAAAGAAGAGAAGAATAGACTCACCAGACACAGTGAAATCAGAATTCAACTGTGACTCAATAAATACTTCTTTAATAAAGAATATTGGCCTTTGTGGTTTTGATCTTATTGTGAGTTCGTAATTTTGTATTGTTTTGTTGCCTTTTGAGGCTTTGATTGCCTGTAGCACTACATTTGTATTTAAGTTATAGATAAATATTAAGTTTGAAAATATTGTGGCTAATTTAGCTTCTGTAACTAAAGTTGCAGAGATTATCATTCACTCTAGCTAAAAACAATTGATTTGATCCAAGAAAAATTGCCGAAATAGTTATTTATTCGTGATGTAGTGGGAAAAAAACAATTGATTTACTTTGGTTGTTAGGTTAGGTTTTCCTGTTTGAGAACTGACAAACTAACATTGCGCAATACAATTTAATTATGCAAGTAATCAGCTTTTTGGTTTTATATTTTGGTCTTAAAACTTATAAAAAGTTTGCAGTTCAATATAATATTGGTTTTATTGGTTGGAATTTCACTGTTATGTAAAAATAAATGGGCTTGATTTTTTTTTAACAAGTTAACTTTTATAAAAATGATGTCTGTATAAAGAAATGCTTGTATATTTAAAGCTAAATCCTTTTGGAATCATGAATTAGTTCATGCAATAGTTCAATGATCAGTTTGGTTTTCAAAACTCTTCCATATAACTTATGAATGGAACAGGTTATTATCCAAGAATTACTAATCTAGGAATATTGCACCACCTTTTGAGTTAAAGGATTTTTTTAAGTATACATTTTTTAATTTAAAATCTCGTAAATTTACTAGATCCCAAACTACTATATCATTATTACGGGGATTACCTTTTGAGTAAAAATATACTACTAACATGTCAAGTTTAATCCGAACTCAAGTATGATAGAAAAAGGTTAATTCAAGTTGGTGTTTGAGTCTAATCTTTATTAAAAATATATGACTTGATCTTGACATATTTACTTGTTATAAAAAAAATTTATAGGTTTATATAAAGTGTAATCTTATATACTGTGTAAAAAATTTCCTTATAATAATTTAACATTAAGAAATACTAAATTTTATAAAAATCTAATTTAACTTGTTTATATGATATTGACACATTTTTTTTAAGTTAATTTGACATTCTTAATGATAAATTATTTAAAAAGATATTTTGATAAAATCTTTAAATAGAACATAAATCTATCTTTCAATAAACTTGTAAGCTTGACTCTATGTAACTCAATGTGTATAACATTATATATATATATATATAAAGAAATTTATTTATTATAAGATATTTTTTTATATTTATTTTACTTAATAATTCATATTTTACATTAAATTCTAATGATCTAATTATTAAATTTTAAAAATAATACATTAATTAAGTCTTTTAATTTTTAAAAAATTTAAAAATTATTTGATATTTTCTTTTATAATTTAAATTAATGGATAATCATAAAAATATTTTATTAAATGGATGATTCTAGCTCTAGGGTATGTAAATTAATACTTACTGTCCATCTAATTCCATTACTTGGACACACCATGCTTTCTTCTCGTCCATTCATAACCAAGGCAACCGTCAATCGCTAAAACACTAATTTCAATGCCAATACTTGAACTTCTGTTCTCCACATTGGACGTACACAAACGACTAATATCAAATTAGCACTCTTATGCTCACAAGCAATCTACCGACATTAATTCAAAACATGAATAATCAATGACCCTCCAAGCACTCGCATTGAAGAAATACAATTCCACCAGAATCAGATGGCGACGATAACATATCCTCAGCACCCAATGATCATTCTACTTTGTGTATCAAACCAAAATATGACACCAAACATAAGGGTCACCCAAATGAATAAAATAAAACTAAAATTGCATTCCCCTAGCAATTGAACATACTAATAATTAAATTTAAAATGGACTAAAAACATGTGAATAAGATGCCAATATCTACTCAAATGAATAGAATAAAATAAAAGATTAATCTATAGAATTTAATGGACACTTGAGTATGAAAAGAATCAGTCAAAAGTAAACTTGTTAAGGTACAAATTACAAATACAAAAAACTCATGTACCCATCTCTCGAAAGTTTCAGATTTCAGTCCTTAAAAATTGGGGTCCATCATGCATTTCAACTCAAAAGATGACACCGTAAAAGTTCTGTAACGAGAAAATGTCATTTTCAGCATGAAAAAAAAAAAAAAATATATATATATATATATATATATATAACCTATTGAGGTTCCTCAGAGACTCAACTCTAAGCCACTTTTAGTTGACATTGCTTTCATGGCTACATAGTTCTCATTTCTCACCCCCACCAAACAATCGCCAAACTCTACCAGAACCCTGGCTCTGAGCTGTTGCAGCGAGCTCCATCTCCTGGTCCAGAGCAGACTTCTTTTCACGGAGAGCCTGTACCTCATCTTCCACAGACTGCATTGATTCCAGCATCTTCTGGAGTTCTGCAATTTTGGCCTGGAAACAAACATTACTAATATACTTAAATCTTACACAGCAACCATAAATCCATATTATGCTTTAAAGTAGGAAATTGAATGTGTACCTCCAAGTTAAAGCATCTTGATCTCTCGGCCACAAGTTGTCCCTGGACTGATTGGAGTTCCTGAAATACATATTTAATTATGAAAAAAACCAGCTACATATTTAATTATAGCACACCCTCATATGAAAATTGCAATACATACCTTGGTCAACTCAGTATGATTATTATTAATTTCCTCTATCTCGCCTCCAAGTTTAGAATTTTCAGCCCTGACTTCTGCAATTGACAATTCCAATAACCGCTTTTCTTCTTTAATGGCTTCAATTTTATCTGTGACATCATCTTTAGGATGACCATTTACAGATGACTTGGAATTTATATCATCTAGTTGCATGAAATCCAACTTCTCAGATTTAGACAATGCATAAGCTGAAGTAACAGAAGCTGCAGCTGCAGCAGCAGCTGGTGATTGGAAAATCTTGGGACGCACGGTGTCCTTTGCCTTGGGTCTCATAACAAAAACCTGAACTTGCAAGGGAGCCCAGCCATTAGCCATAGAATCCACAATATGAAACACCAAAATTTAATTTAAAAAAAATGCCTTTAACAATATGTAAATCTAGCAAATTCAGAATTCAGGGTATAACATGCCATTTGCAATACATAATGTCAGATAAAATTCAGTTTGATTGAATTGAATCAAATCAATTTGCATGACACAACAATCAGGCCTTATCCCGCTAGGTAAATGGACAATCAATGCCATTGGGCCTTTTTGATACTAAATACCAAATTTTTAATAAAACCATTTAGTGCAAGGTCGCTTGTATTGGACCGTCTTCCATTTTAATCACTTTTCTCTCCGAAGCCTCCATTGGTCTCCTCGCTGACCAAACCACCCGAGGAAATTTATGTAATATTCTCTCCAAGTTTCTCATCGTCTTTGTTCCTAATCTTATCCTTTCAAGAATGTTCAATCATCAACCTAAGCATTCTGATCTCCAAAACGAGTGATATTTGCTCGTGTAAATGTCACTTGTTACTGCCAAAACATTTGCATAGAATTGATATGTTTCTACGAATAATTGAAATTCAATTTCTTGATCTGAATCTTCAATTTTTGGAAAACAAAACATCATTGCCGCTCGTCTTTTTAATCCCATCTATCTACTTGATGTTCTTGGAATTATTCCAATAGCCTTTTTTTTTTAAATAATAAATCCTTCTCGTTTCTAGGATAATTTAGTGCAATGTTCCTGATGAATCCTAATATTGCAATAAGAAAAAGGTAAAATCATAGTTGACCCTTGTGGTTTTACTCGAAAGCACTTTGTCCATGTGATTATGAAAATTGATACACTTCGTTAACACCCTGGGGTCTGCAATGTTATCACATAACCACCCTGTGATTTTTTTACCCATTTATTCTTTATTTATTTAACGGTAAGATGCAGGCAAGCCATGTGAGCTCCCTTTTCTACTTTCAAGCCATTCCCTACCAATTTTTCCACAAATTAATCACAAGTTCCTAGCTCCATTTTTCTTAAAAGGCCCAATTCTCTGCAAGATATTAATATGAGATGGAGTAGGAAGTCCAAAAACTCTCAAGTCTGTAAGTGAAGCTCAAAAAGGAGGCATCGGTCCAAACAAGCAGGCAGTTTGGACTCAAGAACACTTCAACAAAGATAGGTTCAAACTGTTTCCATTCCCCAAAGCAAACAAGTAGGCATACATGGTCCATATGAATTGGCATGCATGTCCATATGAGCAGGAAGTGTGTAGAAACTATTTCTTAAACAGAAGCATACAACCAAGCACTCAAGTCGCTGAGCAAAAAACCATGCATGCTGCAACAAAGGACCAATGCAAGTACAAAACCTCTCCCATGGCTACAATTGATGAAACATGACATTTCAAACTGAAAGGGTGTACATATATGAATCATCATCAAGGGTTAACAGGGACAGTTATAGGCAGAAGCATACAAATCAATCAATCTTCCTTACAAAAACAAAATAAGAAAGCCAATCTTCTATAGCGAATAAAAAAAATTACAAATATTACATCACATACCTCATTGCTATACCTCCCATTATAGCCTCCAAAAGCTAACAGATACTTTTCTCCGTCAATCAGTGCTGAACAGACACTAAGACCCTGGTATAAATCATTGGATAAAGAATACACATTAACATAACAGGGCATGAATTATTATCAGTTTTTTCAGTACAAGCAATTGCTTACAGAATCATTATCATATTCAATTACACATTCACTCTTATTGAGACATCGTATATCAATAAAAAAATGAATGTCCTAGAACTCCCACTACCTGCATACATTGTCATGGATCACTAGATGTGAAAAATAAGAGGAAACTGAAAACTAAGATCTCTTTGTTTATGAAAATAAAAATAGGCAAGTCCTGGGTCCTTGTTTCAATGTTTAGGAGAAAACATTATCCCAAACAACTGAAACTGAAGATACAAAATAACAAGTTCTTGGAGAAGAGAAAATTACATATATAATCATATTAAAAAGCCTCAAAATCAACAATCACAGGTAAGGAAATAATAAAGATCTTGGAGAAGAGAAAATTACAATCCTCCATATAATATTCCAGGAAATATTAATAAAAATATATATTAAAAAAAGATTATTGCACTAAGTAATTACCTCACTAGAAAGTGGATCCTTTTGCTTCACAACAGTCAATACTGACCAAACAAGCTTAGACATGTCGAACACAAGGGTCTCAGGGCAACCTATTTCAAAAAATTGGATACTCAGACATCTATAAAAAATAAAAATAAAAATAGAGTATAATGTGTGCATAATTGATGTCAATAGTAGTTTACCCACCCCACCCCCTTCACTTTTAGGCAGTTTCTTCATTTCTTGTGATTCATTTTAAGTTTTGAAACAAGGAGGCCAAGAGCTTTTGGAGTATGTGGTGTATACAGTCTCGGTATATTTGGTTGGAGTACAAAGCCCCCATACCCTTAGATTTGTTTGAGAGGATTGTGTTTATTGTTTCACGGCAGGCTAAGCTCAATGCGATTTCAAGTGAGTAATTATTTCTGACAACCACATGGAGTGGACTTCCATGCTGCATTATTGATTCTCTCTTTTATCTGCTGCCCTGTAGTTTTACTTTTCACTACTTCTCTAATACTATTTCTTTTTAATTTTAAAAAATAAAATAATTGCATACCACTTCTATTATCCCCGCCACCAACTATAAACCAGCTTCCATCAATAGTGATACCAGCATGTCCAGCCCTAGGAGAAACTAAATCACCTTGAGTTTGTGGTTGGGACCACTCCATCTAAACCAAACAAGATTGTTAGATCATTATATGTTTAATGATAAACTTGTATAGGAAAAAAAACTACTTGGAAGATGAATGGCCAAAACTCCAGCAATTTTCTGGATATATAATTATAAATTGAAAATTAATCAAACGTTTATAAGGAATTTTAAAACTGTCCTTCCCCTTAATTCAATGGATTACAGAGTCCAGGTGAACACAGCAAGCAAAATAAACATTATGTTTCCAACTTAACACTTTACTTAAGAAGACAACATATGTAAAGAGATATTTATAAATAGCCAAGCATAAGATGCAAAAGTGCATGAGTTGTAATTATGCACACTAGTCATCATTAATGGCAAAATTAGATTTTTTGTTTTTTTAAAAGAAAAAGGTCAAATGCCCATCCATTGGCAGTATTCCACAAATCAGCTGGATAAAACTCTTTGTATCATACTTGTGAAATTTGAAGGAGCTGAAATATGTATAAGATAGGATACTGGAAAAACAGAAGCTGCATTACTGATAAACTATTGAAAATCCTTCATGTCAGTTACTGATTTTGATATGATATCAGTAACAAATAATGGTCTTATAATATAGAAAATACTGAAAATTCACTTTTGTGCATGTCTAATATACAGAAATAACTGAGCACCCCAGAATGAAAGAAACGAGCTTATTAATACTTTTATTTTATTAATATGCAAAGAAAAGTTGGGATTCTTGTGAAATAATATTTACTTACTGTTTGCATGTCTAACAAATGGAGATCATTGAAAAAGACAGAATGAGAACAACCACCAAAAATCAGAAGGTATCGCTCTCCTTGAATAGCAGCTGAATGATCGTATCTAGGAGCTGGAGGTTTCTGCCTATCAAAATGCAAGAAATTGGTATGGTCATATGGAACTTATCTAAAGCGTGAAAACACAAGTTCCTAAAGTGTAAAATAGATACCACATACGTAGTCGTTATCATTTCCCAAGTCATACTTTCTAGATCGAGAACATGGACATCATTCAACAGCTTCCTGTTCATATCTTCTCCACCAAACAATATCACTTTTGAACCAACCAGTGTTGCAGACTGTCCCACACGGGCTACCTGGAAAAATAAATTGAAAACATTCAAATATCTATTTAACTACAATCAAAGTGACTCTCACATTACATATATAGATATTACAAAAATCATACTTTCTAGATCGAGAACATGGACATCATTCAACAGCTTCCTGTTCATATCTTCTCCACCAAACAATATCACTTTTGAACCAACCAGTGTTGCAGACTGTCCCACACGGGCTACCTGGAAAAATAAATTGAAAACATTCAAATATCTATTTAACTACAATCAAAGTGACTCTCACATTACATATATAGATATTAAAAAAAAAAAAAAAAAAAAAAAAAATCTACGTAATTGAATATTCTGCACACATAATTTTTTTTTAAAAAAAAGTTGGAAAAAGATACAGCAATAGTAACAATCAATGCTTATCCATGGATTCCATCAGTGCCATTATGCCATATCTAAAACCAAATTTTCAGTAAAGCCATTTAGAGTAGAATATTGAAAACCCTAACCAAACAAAAAATCAACACCCAAGATCAGAACATTAAACTTTTACATCAATGGACACACTTACTGGAACACTTCCAGAAGTCTCAATAACTCCAAACTGGCATGTTTTGATATCAATGTATCGAACTGCAAGAAATTCAATGAACATTGTAAGTTTCCATGTGTTACCATCTTATAATATGCTATGCACGTATATGAAATAATTGAGCACTTATATGATTTTCTCCACACTATAAATAAAATACCGTACAGATACTAGCCTGTAAATTCAGCAGAAGAAACCCTTGAATTGCCACCAAGAAGAAGCAGTTTCTCCCCCCACCTAACCTGCAGAAATTTCCATGTCTCTATCAGAACAAATCAAACATCCAGATTATTACTAACACTCATCAGTAGCCAAACTGAAGAAAGTGGGATTTCATATTTTAACATATATGCACATCAAGAGTTGTTATACAAAATTTTACCATATTGTGACCAGATGTGGCTGGAAGAATCTCCTGCGAGCTATTGTCATCATCTTTTCCGACATTTGCTTTTAGTTTCAGAGTAGACCACGTCAAACTTCTTAAATCAAAAACCTGCAAGCGGCTAAATCACGTGACCCACTGCAACAAGTCCAAGAATCAGAAGCATCAGTGCATACCTTATACCTGAACATCAGATAAGTGTCGACCATTACGACTCCCACCAGCAATGTATAATTTTTCATCAACCACTGCTGCAGCATGCTACATTGAAGGACAAAACATGGAGTAAGTATCTGGTCCAAGGCAAAGGAAGGACTTCACATAAGAAGCCTTGAATGTCTAAGGACTTAAAAATAACTCATAAATGACCCGAATGACCCAACCAAGAATTACTTTTATGGCTTTGTTAGAAAAGATATTTTGCCTAGTCTTCTCTTTAATTCTCTATTCTTAAATTCTCTAATAAAAACAAGGAAGAGAAAGAAACCTTGTAGCGAGCAGCTGGACTTGCACCAGATACAGTGATTGGTACCCAGTTGTCATATATAAGCTCCTTATGCCAATTGTTGACTGCCATATCTCTCCGGTACTCCTTTAGTCCAAGAAGAACTGTTTCAAGTCATCTTTTTTTTAATTGTCATTTCAGATTATAATCGTTTCAGAAATGATGACAAAAGCTAAAAGCCACTAGATAAGCTCATTACCCAAGCCACGGTACATTTCAAAGTATTTAATCAAATACATCATGAAATTCAGGAGAATCAATATTCAAGACTCGGTTAATATGACAACAAACAAATTCATAATTATAATATTATAGTTTGTCCAGTCTTGATATGTTAGGTTACTCATAGATGTTCAGTCCTATAAACTTCAGACTCTAAATATCCAATCATGGGTGTGAAGGGTGTCTGGTTATCCTCAGAGTATCCCATTACTTTTGTAATTAGTATTCCATTTCTTACCTAATGATTCTGCTTGACATCCAAGAGTCTGGGTAATGGAAAGCCTGTTCCTTCACCTCATAATTGAAAATAGCTAGAATTCTAGGTACTACAATGAGTACATAAAAAGCAGGGCATTTATTGTTACCGAGGCAAAGTGTGAACGCTGAAAACAGTTCACAGCCCGTGGAGGTTGCTGCGATCACAGTGGCTACAGACGAAAAGGGAGGCAGCAAAGTGTGACTTCACTTCAACATCACCTCAACCTTAACCTTAAAAATTTTGTAAAGGAGGAGAACTGTTCAAGCCTTTAAGGTCCATATTCCTAGAAACCAAGACAATATGGGACATCTTAACAAAGCTTAAGAATATGCTACATCCACACCCTCTCCGATATTTTAACAGAAAATTACACATCAAAATCTGCAAAGAGATCAGAATTTATTCCTACACCCTGATCGCTATCAAACAGCTTGAATTTTTATTTGGTCATGAAATAATACTTGTTCTTAGTCTATCTGAGTTGCTCGAATATGTCAACCGGTGTGATGGCAAGTAAAAGGATTGCTTGTTAACCACATTTTGTAATCTCTCGTTTTTTAGATGCATAATTTTACAATGAGTGAAGATTGAGTGCCACAGATTACCAATGATTAGGGAGGGGGGGAAAGTTATCACTAGCATTACTCTACACTAAGTTCCTAACGAGAAAAAAATTCCAAAATACAGCAAACACTTGCTAGCAAGCAAATCAGGGACCCGAGAATGCCGCTTAATTTAAAACATTTCAATCACAATCTTAACAATTCTCTTAATCAAAAGATTTTTTGACAATTCTTTTGACAAGCATCTAAAATTGCAAATTGAGATCGAGCACAGCGTGGAAAATAACCCCGAATTTCAAATCGAAATGGTCAAATCATATTCAACACGATAGCATAGAAATTCGAAATAGGAGCTAAGAGAAACGAACGATGGACTGGAAATGAATGTGAAACCTGAAACTAGAGAGAGACGTCAGATCTCGAAAGGCCGTCGTGTGATGCGGAGGAGGAGGAGATCAGACGGTGGCGGATCGAGAGCCACCGTCGAGATCTCAATTGATACGTCGAGACGGTTGTTTCGAACTCACGACACAACAAACGTTACTCGTACAACTGGAACTACAGACAAACTCCAATGGTTTAATGCATTTTCAGTACTTGGTCTATTTTTTTCAACTTTTTTTTTGCCATTTTAATTAATTACCTAATAAAAAAAATTATAACAAAGGGAGTCTAGATTTTTTTTTTCTGGTAATTAACTCTTTAATTTCATTTAAATTGTATTCAATCTCTAATTTATTCTACCAAAAAAATTCAGTGTCTAATTTATAATAAAAATAATATGAGTATGTTGTTTTAAAAAAAATTATATATACGTAATTTTAATTATCGGTTAATTTTGAATAAGAAGTAAATAAAAATCATGTACATGTTAAAATTATTTGTAATTTTCTAATAATTCTTTTAATTATATTTTTTATCTCAGATTTTACATATTTATTATTTCTCTTTTTATAAAAATATAATTGAAAAAATATAAATTAATTAAAAAAAGTTCTTCAAAAATATAAATAAAGAGAAGAAGAAAAAAGTGTATGTTTTAATTTACTTTTCATGTATAATTTATGTTTATCAGCGAAAGTCACATTCTGATTGTCAACTTAACCTTAAAACATTGAGTGAATGATGTTCACGAATAAAGAAAATATATTCATATATAATTTAATAGAAAATAAATAAACTTATTAAACCATTTAACTGGTTTACTAGGTTCTTTTTGGTACTCAAGCTTATTTTACAAGTTTATTAATTATTTTATTAAAAATTAATTAAAGTGACTTATAATTTATTTTTATAAATTAATTGAAATAGTTTATATAGTTTACAAGTTCATAATTTTATTAGTTTTATAAATTAATAAATATATAACTTTATATTAATTAGTTTTATAAACACCTTCAATTTAACCCATTAATTTATAAGTTTTCAACTTTTGAACTACTAACTTAATTATATATTTTCAATCGTTTAATTATAAATTAATTTTATCAAACACATCTCATATATATGTGTCATCCGTATGTAGGCATGGCAACGGGCAGGCCCGATACTTGCCAAAAGTAAAATCTGGCTACCCCCATTCCTATCCTCGGCGGGGTTCGAGTTTTCCTGTCCTGCCTTGCCTTCGCGCCTGCTCTTACTTTTTCTTTTTTTTTTTTTTAAATAAATATGAACAAGTTTAAAAAATAAATAAATAAATAAACAGTACAAATTTTGCATATAAATATTTTTAATTTTAGTTTATATATATATATAATCTTTTAATTATATTATTAAGTGGGGTGAGAGCGGAGGTGGGGGCGGATATTAACATCCGTCCCTGCACCTACTTATATCAGTCGAGAATAATTCGAATCCAACAAATACAAAATTTTTTTGTCCAAATCAGGACGGGTTCGGACAGGTACTAAGAGGCGGGTTAGATTGACGTAGTTATCCGTATGACTCATTTTAAATAATTTTATTTTTTTGTCAATTAAATCTTACCGTACTCAGTCCTGGCGTTTGGGCTTAGGGCAACGAAGTTATTACTTGATTATTTATTTTGTTTTTGTCGTGAATAATTGCAGAACTGCATGGAATGTATATATATATCACCGTGTGGCGTACGTGTACATGGAAAAATAATTCAGGCAACAATAGTCACAACCGCGAGCAAAACCAATGTATGATTTAAGCTTATGAAATTATATATGTGTGGTGTATGTTGATTAAAAGAATTATGAAATGATAAAAGTAATATATATATATATATATAAAAATTAAGAAAAGATGATTTTACTGATACGTACGTGAGTAGTGGAAGAGTGTAATTAACAATTAATAAGCGAAGGTAAATAAATATAATTATATTATGTTATATTATATGTAGTATGTAATAATGTTTGGATATAAAAATGGATAGGCATGGCTTTATGCAGGAATAGAGTTGAACTGGTCACATCTGCTCCTGACCTCACCCTTCTTCCCAGTTCTGACTCCGAGCAAAGAAAGCCTCTCCATGGCGTAGGCAAAGTCAGTGAAGAAGGCTTGTTGGTCATTGGCGTAGAGCTCAACGATGGGGCGGGTCCGGGGGTCCACAGCCAGAAGAGAATCAGAAGACAAGAGCCCTAACCCTTTGATCAAGTTCTGGTAATAAGCATTGTCGAACTTCCCCGGTGACCTAACGTCGTTGAAGGCGGCCATGGAGGAGTCCTGGGTGTAGTTCTGGCAAACGGACCTGAGGCCGGCCACCAGCTTAGGGTGCATGGAGGGGTCAGAATCGGAGCTGGAGCTGAAGTTGTAGATACGGTGGATGAACTCCTTGCAGTGAGTGAAGCCGATGGTGTGAGCGCCGGTGAGGGAAACCATGTCCTTGATGGAGAACCCCTTGGAGGTGAACTTGTCCATGATTTGGTCCATGCTCATGTAGGGAGTGGGAAGGCTAGCGTCGACCTTGGCGGCGTCGGATTCGGTGCTGTCTTTGCGGCCGAGCTTGACGGGGTAGAAGGGACCGCCGACCATCTTGACGAGGTCGCGGGTGGCCTGGGCGACGATGTCGGAGCAGGAGACGATGCCGGGGCAGGAGAGCTCGAGGGCGTTTTTGATCTTGACGATGACGTCGAAGGCGTCGCCGGAGAGGGAGAGGTTGAGGTCGGCGTCGCGCTCGGCGTGGGGGGTGTAGGCGTTGGAGGTGATGAGGATGGAGGCGTCGCAGCCGTCGGTGATGCAGTCGTGGAAGAAGAGGCGGAGGAGGCCGGGGGCGGTGGCGGGGCTTGTGGTCTGCTTGGTGAAGACGTTTTCCAAGACGATGTTTTGGAAGTCGGGGCAGGTTGTTTTGTAGTAGTCGGTGTTGAGCTTTGCGGAGGAGAGTTGGAAGAAGGGGAGGGAGAGGAAGAGGAGGAAGAGGATCGGAAAAGCCATGGCCAAGAGAAGGGTCAAGCAAGAACCTTTTTTCTTTCTTTCTTCCTCTCTTGGGTTTCTTTCGGAAGGACGTCGACTATGGCCTCGCTAATGCATGCATGTGTGATAAAGGCTGTGGTCCGAGGCCTTCACCCCTTTTTTCTCTCTTCATATTTCCTTTCTCCCTTTTTCTATTTTTGCATGCATGCTTCCTCCTTCTCTTCCATCTCCCTTCCTAATCTTCTTCGCTTTCAACTTGGATTGCGCTTCTCCAACAAATTTCCTCTTTCTTATCCATCTTTCTTTTCTTCCCTTTTTTATCCTTCATTTTCATCCATTCATCACTTTTATTACTTCAACTTTTTAAGAAATCATGTAAACTTTTTTAGATAAAATATAAAAAAATAGCGATGCAAGTTATAATAAAATCAACCATATGTGATAATCCAAATAAGTGGACACAATCAATCGTAATTTTTATTTTATTATTAATTAAATCTTATTTTAAATCACAAAATTATGAATAATCCCACAAAATAGAAAGTAATATTAACACAAATCGTTATAATCTTAAAAATGTAAACTAATAAAGAATATGTTAAAAGACTAAAAATTATTTGACTGTCAAATGTGAAGAGATAACTCTAGACCTCTTCTTAGACAGGTGTACGCGTAGCACTAAGCACCGCATTTGTTCAATGTTTTGTGATTCCCCCACTTTAGCATTACCATACCCACAACATCTAACTCTTCCTAAGCAAAATTAAGTGCTCACTCTAAAGTTTCTAGAGTTTCCCATTTTTAAAGGATCTGCTACTTGACATTCATCATGATCATAAATAACAAACCCAGATATTGTTTATTAATGTTAGTTAATATATACGCTAGATAAGTAGTTTAATTAAATATTTATTCAATATATTTAAAAAACTATTTTAAAAATTACACAGCAAAGTAAACTAGTTTTGTAAATTAAAATAATCCACCTAAAGTCTTCCTGATGCGGTGGATAGTTCCCATTTTGATATATAAATTGAATTCATTGAGGGTTTTCAATCCTGTAATGATTGAAGGGAGAGTGCGATACAGAAGGATACTGAAGTTGTATTTATATAGTGCCATTTGTCACTGAAAAGAGTAGGTTTCATGAAAGTAGACAAACCCCACCGAAAGATTGCGGATTCTAGGGACAAAGAATATTTCGTATTTCCCTATACTTGGTTATGTATATATGGTAGTGGATGTTTTGTGGCTCACAATTTTAGAGGCCTATTATTTTTTGTTACATATATATTCATTCATTTTTAAGACCATGTATGAGAATTGTTTTTTTACTATATTACGTGTGTGTAGTATTTATTTACTTTATTCGTGATCGATTTGCATGCACAAGTGTTTCATCCCAAACATTTATGAGGCTGAAAATTAAACCAACATTTTGTTTAAAAGCAGTAATTTAATCTTATTCGTACCAATCACATGTTAGGATATGAGTATATGTTATCCTTTGAAGAGTAAGAATGCCAACAATATGTGTCTGCTTAATAATTTTAAGACCTTATTAACTAATTAATTATGTATTCCAGCACCCCAAGGAAAAAAACACTATTCTTATTGAAGTAGTTGTTGTTGTTGGCAAGGATGTTATTTTTTTATATGTAAATTTTTTTATATATATAGTGGTTGTAATAATGAAGTTATAATTTATGAATTTATACTCGCTATATAAAATTACGTACAAAGCTAAACTGGCTCTAGCTAGTATATATGTAGGTTGTTTTCCTTATTTTTAATTTTTATTAATTTATCAGAATCAAACTCAATCAGAAGATTAATTTACAACAACTCAAAAATCTTATTCAACCAGTTGAGTTACAACTTAGCTAATATTAACTCTCAACTAATCAACATACTTAATTATAGGAAAATTATTTCGTAGTGTAGTCAACGATCGATAATCTGGTAGAGTATAATTGTACGGATCAAGTTAAAGACGCAAGTTCATCGAATTATTGAAAATGACTTTACAGAAACTTTCCACTCAACTAATTAATTAATCTTATTATATATTATCAATTATTGTATATAATGGAAATCCTATAAAATTCAAGATGAAACCTAATTAAATTAACTTATGTTGAATTGAATTCACGCTTTTATACCACGAAATCTATACAAATAGTTGACAATTAACCAGTCCCCACCACTACCACCATAAACTATATTTATAATGTGAGGCATTAATTTATCTTCCCTGAGCACTAACTAAGATCATCTGTTACTTTAGCAGCGTGGCGCCCTATCTGTTATTCTTTGACGAAATATACTCTAGAGTTAAATCACCACTATTGGTGTTCCATTTTGCTGTGTAATAAATAAAATTGTTTGTTTGAGTGGTGCAAGAGGTATAATATCATACGTAAAAAATCTAATCGACAGAAAGATATATGGACCGGAGCAATCTATTTAAGCTTCATTCTACATAATTCATATTTTTAATGGATCGAATAAATTTGGTCTGTAAAATAAAATGATCAAAAATTTTAAGTTCATATCTAACTTGTTATACTTGGGATTAAACGAACCGATCCCCAAGTTCAACAAAAATATGAAAAAATTTAAAAATTAAAATTAAAATATTTTTTCAAATTAAAGGAGTTTTTTTTTTCCTTTCCTTTCTTAAGCTATGGAAATATGAGAAGGAAAAAAAAAATATATATATATATA